AAAAAAAAAAAAAAAAAAACTTTTCTCAATTAAACATAAGCAAATCAATGAAAATAATATATTTTTATAAATTTTATGAACAAAAGTTGACTCGACAATATTATTAATGAATTTATCAATTGTAAATATTTAATTAAAATATTAATTAAAAAATTGTAATTGTATATAATTTAATATAGAATATACAAATATTTGATATATAATGAGCTAGATGATCGAAAAAATTCTATACTTTATATTATGTCTGTTTTGACAAATCTACAGTTAAGAACATGTGAAAGAACAAGATAAAGTTTAAAAAAAAATATTAAATATAAGAAATAATATGAATAATAACTAAGTTGTGACATGTACTAATAAATATAAAACAAACTAATAAACAAAATAATATAATTAATATATCTAAATATAAAACCTTCTAAAAATATACTTATCGATGTAATCGAACTGAGTTGTTAAACGCTTGTTAGTTTTTTGTTCTTATTAATTTTATGTGTAAACTTGAGGTGATAGACAATAGTTATTTGTACATTTATACATGTAGATTAGAAAAAAAAAATCTTTATTATTCTAATTTTAAATAACTTTTTTATTTACTATATTAGTTTTTTTAATATCATATATTAGTATCATATTGAACAGATAAAACAAGAAATATTTTAATTATATAATATTTAATATGTAAGAATTGTAACTCAATTGGTAAATTAATAGGTAATCTTGTGATAAAATAATGAGTGATTTATGAAAAAAAAAATTATTGGAACTAAAAAGTTCATGTTTTTAATATATTTTTAATAAAAAAATTTAAACACAATTACTCAATAAATACTACATAAAAAATATAAGAAATCTTATATCCTCCCTATATGTAATTAAAAAACATAACTTTTCTCAATTCAACATAAGCAAATCAATGAAAATAATATATCTTTAAAAATTTTATGAACAAAAGTTGTCTCGACAATTGATTGGTCGAAAAAAGTGTGTATATTATATATTTATTAGCGTATTGTATATGCTTACTTTTTATCGCACTTATATATTTTTCGACTTATTTATTTATTAGATGGATTTGAGTGCTATGATATTTTTGTGCATTATTTTCAGACTATTGGGCTACTTTTATGGACGACGAGATATTAAACGAAAGTTCCGACCAATAGAATATGGGGGTGTCCCGTACTGACCCAACAGCACCCCGTACTCAGATGTCCAACAGAGCCCATGAAGCCCATGCAATTCATGTAAGAGGGCTGATTGGAATTAATATAAGTAGGCTGCAAATAATAAAGCTACAGTGGGCCAGGAAGAATTTGTAGCCCAATTTAAATATGAAGTGTATGTTATGGCCATAGAGACACGTGAGCAGGTGGAGGGCTTGAATTTTGGGAATTAATTGGTGAGGAAAAAAAATAAAAGGAACTTGAGCAGACCCTAAGAGATCGACTCAGAACAGAACACATACGCAGCCGCCCAATCAGAGAGAAACAGAGACGCGAGAAGAGAGCAGACAGACGAGGAAGCCGATAATCGCGGAGGGAGGCCGCACCCGTACACGAGGGAGATAATTGATCTCTCTCTTTTATCTTTTTATTTTTATTTATTATGATAGGCTAGTTTTTATTTCTAGTTCCAGGGAAGTTGAACCCTACGATTGACGATGTTTGATTGATTTTCTTGGTTGATGATTTTATTATCTTTTTGGAATTGCTTGTGTTATTTTGAATAATTAATCATGATGTGTTGAGTCTTATTTAGATTGATCTCCTAGATTAGGCTTTTCATATCTACACCTGAATTAGGCCTTCAATCCGTAATTGTTGATGTGTTTAATTCGCAAGTGGTATCCGGGAAGATGGTAACTACCGGGGATAACACACCCTAAGTAAGTGAATGAAAATTTCGCTACTTAGTCTAGCCTATTTTTCTAAATCGTAAAGCGGCTAATTGAATTAAATTTAGGAAGCGTTTCCTAGACTGTTCAAGAGGTCAGATTTAATCGTAGAGCGTCTCGCGGTTAGATTAAAAATAAGGAAAAATTCGGGTAACAGACCGTGTCGTTGCCTAGGGCTAGTAATTCCATAGATAGCGAGATTTGATACCAAAGTTGATTAGACGAGTCAGTCGAGGGTGTAGACGGAACCGTGAACTAGAAACTTTCTCTTTATTTATTTTATTTTATTCGTTTAGATTTTATTTATTTTGGTTAGTTTAGTTATTAAATCCAATCCCCCCTTTATCGTTTTTTTTTATAAATTCAATTAATAGAAGAATTTCACAATTTGATTCACACTCCCTGTGGGTTCGACCCTTACTCGCCACTACTACTAGTTAGTAGAGGTTAGATAAGGAAAATATAAATTATAATTTTACCGCGTTGCGACACGCGGTCAAATTTTGGCGCCGTTGCCGGGGAGGCTCTAAAATTTGACCGCGCGTCGCAACGCGTCAAATTATAATTTATATTTTTTCCTCGACAAACCTCTACTAACTAGTAGTAGTGGCAAGTAAGGGTCGAACCCAC